TGCAGGTGTTTTGAGTGAGCAGGCGCTTTTGGACAAGTTCATTTCGCTCAGTTGTTCATGGTGATTGATTTTTGCAGGGCTCAGTTGACTGAGCAGGAAATGAAAGACTCCAGTCGACGGATAATGCAGCCTTTTTCCTTTTGAGCTTAATTATCCATCAAGAACCGGTGACTAGAACAACTCGACCTGACAATGAACATGAAGCACAGGGTTAATTAGACAGACGCTTGAGAGCAACATCAGTTATAAAGATTGTTTCCACACAAATACTATGCATTATTGGCTGTCCCCTGAACACAGTGAGAGTAATTGATACAAAAACAATGTGCAAAAAGGCTGCAATTAACTGGACTTCACTGAATCCCAGAGAGCAAGGCTGTTAAAGCATTGTCCCATGCAAGATGTATAATTCTCCTTTTTATAAGTTGTTTCAAACAGACTTTCTAAAATGTGTGCTGTCTTCATTAATTCTTTTTGAATGATTTTTTTTAAAAAATAGATTCAGTGTTGGGCTTTCATTAAACCTACCTAACAGAAACATCAGTATTTTATTAATACAACGTGACAATTTCTGTGGATGCTGATTCTTGTATATATTTTGTAAAATAATGAAGATCAGAAAATTGAAGATCGATCTAAATCTGATCTTTCTTGTTTTTTAATTCAAAAGGCTTGTGCTCCTAAAACCTGCTGATAGCTCTCTGCGGGATTTAGAAAATGCAACCTCATTAGAAAAGATTCAGGTGTGTATTCAGCAGGATTGGGGGCAGAGATGCAGTTCATTTGTTCAGCACTAAACCCACTGAGCTTTTACAATGCAAGTTTGCAGCGAAGACTATATTATACAGATTTAATCACATGAAGGTTTAAGCATTTCTGTTTGCTGATGTTGCTAATTATCTGTTTCCAGAGCTTCTTTTTTTTTTAACATTACTGCAGTCACATTTTTTGACCAAGGCAATATTTCTGCATGTCCTTGCATCTCTAAGCATGTGGGAATAACAGCGAGAGTTGAAGCATTTAGAAACAGATCCTCAACCATCTGTTCCTAAGATACAGGATATATTTTACACTTTTTGCATCTCTACCAAATATGAAAAATATGCCCTCAATAATACACCCATAATGTTGATGCACAGTACACTCAAATTACCAGATGCAAAACATGCTATCGGGTTCATTATAATATAGGTAATAGAAATACAATGTGCAAAAAATACATTTGAAATGTAAATCTTTAAACCTTTGTGATTAAATTTTAATCAACAGAAATTTTATGTAAGCAACTATTACGTAAGAACCTTTTGTAACGGGTCATGGGTGAACACTAAAGTGGCTTACTACAACAGCATCATTTCGCTGCACCATTAGGAGAAATTACTGTGGTAATATGGCCCATTAGTGCAACAATGTCACCCATAATAGGATTACTATCCTGACTGCTGTCTGTAACAAAAGCCATATGTTCCAGTTACAGGTGCTGTCCAGCTTGAGCGAAACAGTCTGCAAATTACGATAAATTAGGAACCATGTGCTCATATTTCATGAGGGGACTCATAATGAGATGAAAAAAAAACCTCTTCGTGTCCAGAAATATCTAAACAGCTCTACTTCAAATTCCCAAATAATCCTCCTGACTAAATAGCATTACTGCAAAGTTTAAAACTTAGGCAACACTGGTAGTAAACACTCACAGACATTTTATTAAGTATACCTTGCTTGTACCGGGCTGGTCCCCCTTTTGCATTAATTCAACAAAGTGCTGAAAACATTCCTCAGAGATTTTGCTACTATAGATACTGATACGAAACTATCCCCCGCACTTCCATCCATCCTGAGCTGTTGCTGCAAGGCAGAATGGATCTCTGCTTTTATGTTGTTCATGCCAAATTCTGAGCATCATCAGAATGTCGCGACAGAAATCAACATTTATTGGACCAGGCGATATTTTTTCAATCTTCTGTTACTCATTTTTGATTAGCCTGTGTGAATTGCAGAAACAGTTTCCTGTTCTTACCTAACAGGAGTGGCATTCATGGTCTTCTGCTTCTGTAGCCAATCTGCTTCGAGGTGGGACATATTTTGCTTTCAGAAATGTTCGCCTACCTTTTCTATAATGAGAGATTTTTCTAGTAACTGTTGCCTTTCTATTAGTTTGAAGCAGTCTGCCCATTCTCCTCTGACCTCTGGCATCAACAAGGCACAGAAAACTGATGTTCACTGGATATTTTCTCATTTTGGGGCTGTCCTCTGTAAACCCTAGAGATTGTTGTGTGGGAAAATCCCAGCAGATCCTGAAATACTCAGACAAACTCATTTGGCATCAACAACCATCCCACGTTCAAGTCACTTAAATCACCTTTCTTCTCCATTCTGATGCCGAGTTTGAACTTGACCAAGTCTACATGCGATTGGCTCATTTGTATTAACCCTCTCAAGGCAGGCGTTGCCAATTTGCAACAGTTAAAAACTAACAACCTGATTACCCCACATACATATTTTATGAGGTTTTTTTTACTCAGAAGTACCACTGCAGGACTTGGTTGTGCAACAAAAAGTTTAATTTGAGCCTGAGAGGGTTAATGATAAGTTGAATGGTGTACCTAATAAAGTGTGTTAATGTCACATAAAGCTGAAGCACATCACTACATATGGTCTCTTACCTCATTCATTTAACTTGGACATAACCTTTAAATTTCTTCAGGTTTGCAAATAATCAGAATGGCAAAACCATGAAGAAACAAATGTTATGTTTCAGCAACTTTATACACTAAGCAGTGGTGAGATGGTCAAAAAGGCTTGCTGCTTTTAAACTAAGAGCAACAAAAAAGATGACTATAGCCGAGGGTAAAACAACTTTAAAGCAAAGTCAGAAAGATTTACAGCCACTCATAACCTACAGTGGTTTTGTAGTTTCTGTTGACAGAACATTACAGCATTAACTGCTCAAAGACTTTGCAGCAGGTGTTATAGCAGCAGACCGAGCATTATATTATATGCATGTATTCCACTTGGGTGCAAATAAATTCTACTCTGCTGCCTCTTGAACTGATGTCTGACTTGGCTGAGGACACAAGCTGAACCAAAAAATTCAGCCTCTGACTGATACCAGCTCACAACAGCATGTTGACAACTAAGAAATAATTTGTACTGACTCATAGTCTCTCATTTATTATGGTTCAGACAATCAATGACAGTTCTCTTTGGATAAACTGGAGTTAATATTTGATGAGTAAATGCAATCCCTTGAGCCTTTCAGTACACATTGCTGATATGACTGCATGTGAGACACAAAAGCCGCAATGTAAGTCTCTCATATTTTATCCAGGAATGGGTTTTTCTTCTGTTGAATGATGAATGAATGAAGAAATGAATGAAAGTGTCACACATGTACAGTACCTCTGCGATTAATGCTCTGAAATGATTAATCGCAGATTACTTGGATCCTGACAGTGTGACCAGCATCCATCATAAACAATGAAACCACGACTTACCTAGAAGTCGTGTCCTGGAGGACCTAAAAAAAAAAAAACCTCCCAGATTCTCTGAGCATGTGAGTGCAGATTGGATGCTTGAGTGAATTAAAGTAATTTAGAGAAGGAGAAATGAACAGATGGCCAGAAAAAGATTATAATGGAAAAGGAAAGGATGGAGCAAATGGTTGAAAATCTATGAAAGAACACGCGGTTATTGAGAGCAATCTAAAGCATTTTTAAAGCGCCGTTACAGACTACATGTTTACAATTCTTTTCATTTAGCGTTTTCTCTTCTTTAAATGAAAATTTTGTCCACTTTAACCTCAACTACTGTCCCAACAAAACATCAAAAAAATGCACAAAATAGAAAAAAGTAGAAATCAGTCATATATTTATGACTTGTATAATTTATACTATGATTATGCATTGGTTCGAAAATGAAATAAACATTTAAAAAATTAAAAATATAAAATTTAGCTGATTTTTTTTTCTTGGTTCTTTTGGTTTTATTGTGTTTTTTGCATCTCAAAACAAAAGCATTAGAGCCGTTTTGTAAAACAGAAAATCAAATATCTGTTAAAAGGATCCCGTTTTTCTTTCAAAGACGCCTTCCTGATTAATGAATCAATCTAATGCCAGCAGTACATCAGTGTCAAAGCACGAAAGAAAAACAGAACTCCCCCAATTTAATTAGCAGCAGCTGATCATGCATGTAATCAATACTGTGGTCTCATCTGCACACACACAAACACACACACACAAGGGCACGTAAAGGAGCTGATCAGCAACTGACCATCAAATTACTGAGAATCCTTGTCAGTGTTGGTTTTCATGTGGAGGTCACGTCTGCATGCCAAGGTAAAGATAACAAGCAACACAGGGGACATAAACCTTACAGACAGTCTCACAAATTCAAATTAATTTAATTAAAGCCAGGCTTCAAAGCGTGGAGCTGGAACCTGGGCTCTGCTTCTGCCTAAGCTGGCTTTTTCATGGAGGTGAGATATGGCCCGTTGACTGGGATGTTGCCAATTTAGTCCAGTAAGAAGACAGCTCTATTTATTATTATTATTATTAGTAGTAGTAGTAGTAGTAGTAGTATTAGTATTAGTATTATTAGTATTATTTTACCACCAAAATGGTATTAAAAATGTCCTATTTTGATAACATTCACGCTTTTTAAGGTGATTATTCTGTAGTATTCTATATGCTCTTCACCCTTTTCACACAGCAGCTCACCATCTACCAAGACGTGGATGTCAGACAGGTCTGCTTTCTGGTTCTGAAGCTGAATTATACATTTGGATGATGCTGGAAGGAAGAAAAGTGGTGATCCTTTATAATATATGAACATATAGAGGTTTTTTTTTTTTAATGGAGTGGAGGTTTTAAGGAATCCACATCTCCCTTTGGAGGAAGTTTCTCTCTCTCTCTCTCCCTCTCCCTCTCTCTCAACAAGAGCACACACGGTCACTGAGAGCGCAGCCGGAATGCGCCACAGCGCATCCAGCAGTGTCACACTGATGAAGCGCGTCTCCTGACCCTGACAGCACAAGCACGAGATGCCTGCAAACACCTGGCTGGATTTCGCGGAGGCGGTCTGTTCTCCGTCTTCCTTTTACGCTCTGTCTCAGCGTTGCTTTTGCTAGGAACGCGACGTCCTGGATGCGTTATCTCCAGTGACGCTGAAGTGAAGCGCAGTTCGCTGAAGCCATGTGAAGAGCGGACATGTCTCTTGTCGGGAGCACCGGAGGCAAAACGCGAGTCCAGTAGAGGAACAGTGCTCGCACTTTATTGGAGAGCAAAACAGATCCTTCCATGAGGAGACGAAGAGAGAAGAGATGGTAGAGAAGTAAGTACGCAGTCAAGTTGGAAATCTAAGCCTAGCAGATGACGATTAGCTGCTTTTATTCTTCGTGACTTATAACCTGTTATCAAGTTTGCACTTTAGAGAAGATGTTAAGGGGGAAAGCTACCGTTCAGTAGGTGATCGGTTCACTGATAATTGATTGAAGGTTAATAACAGGGATATTTGAACTATTCGTATTATTGTTTTGAACTTGATGACACTTTTACTTAATTATAGACAAGAAAACGTCATTTTTAATTAGGTAGACCCATTAAAAATGGACTAATATAATAAAAGTGCTTACCGCAGTTGCGTGTATGTGCAAATAACATAACCATAAAACCTAAAACAGTCCTTTTTGTTTTCACTGGATTGTTTTTGAGCGAGTGATCCTCTCCATGAGTTGTTTACTATAAAATTATGTCCAGGACCTCTCGGGGTGGTTATGTAATTGCATCTACTGTAGCAAGCGGTTTAGGAAACGGGTTTGTGACAAAGAGTTCTAAATTTTTAATGAGCGTCCATTCAGTTGCTTTGCACATTTATACTGTGGGACAGCAGCCAAAATAAATAAAAACATGCATGCATTTAAAAAAAATATATAAAGATATAGTATTTTAACTCATGGAGTGCAAAGGGTTGCATTCTTCTTTCTTCATTCTTCTTCACATGTTTTGCATGCACAGATTGATTGATTGACAGATCGATTGAAGTGATATATGAAGTCATACATGTATATTTATTGGACATAATTCGGAAGAGGATCGAGAGATAATGAAGCCGATTGTAAAATTAGGGCTGATGCATTGTGTTTTTTTTCCTTCAGTGTGAACACAATGTGAATGAAAAGTGTCCAACCTCATGCTGATCGCTGGGGTTGAGGTGGCGCTGTTTCTTAAGAAAAACATAAAAAAATGTAATTAGACAAACCAAGTAAAAAAAACATTATTACTTATAACAGCATTAAAAAAAAAAACTGCCATTCCTACTGGACTTCTATTTTTAAGATTTAATGATCAGCTTTTCTGCCAGGTTACTGACATTTTAAGAAGGTGGTGGCATTAAAATACTGCAACTGAAAGTCTCACTATAATATCTATATTAACGTTTCTGAAATATCTTTTTCTTTTTTTAGCAGCCAAAAAACAAAAAACTCTTAGCTGTATGCCACAAAATTCAGAAATTGTCTGCACAGAGGTCATCTTAGGTGATTCCAGTGATTCAATATAAAATACAAAAAAAAAAAATGCTGCATATACAGTTTTTGTTCTGTTGTACATATATATAGTCAGTCCTCATGTATTTACACTGTGCATATAGTAACTAATTATCCATCCCTTATCTATTCCACTATGTATTACATCTTTGCACCATTGCATCTTAAATGTGCTTTAATTGTTTTTGTCTGTCTCATTGTGTCTGTGTCATGCTGATGTCGTGTAGTCAGTATTGTCTGTTACATACAATGAGAGCAAAGAAGAAAACGGAGCCTAATTCCTTGTATGTGTACAAAGCAGATTCTGATTCTTATTATTCACTATATATAGATATTTGCGATGCTCTGCTTGGCCTTTACTAGAGTCACCTTTAGCTGCTTGTTTGTGGATCTTTCTCCATTCAGTTTTGTATTTAATAACTGAAAAGCTGCCTTACTGGATTGAAATCAGCTGACGGGCTTGGTCGATGCTGGGGGGGGGATCACATTTCTTTCCCTGGAGAACAAGAAAGTATGATTTTAGGTCATTATCCCTTTGCTCTGTGAAGTGCTGTCCAATCAGCAGTTGGTTGAATGCAAAGAGATTTCATCCTCAAAATTTGTCCTGCTATTTCTATCAGCAATCACATCATCAATAAACACTAATGACCCAGTTCCACTGCCCATGCCACAACACTGCTTCCACCATGTTTAATAGATGTGGTAAGCTTTCCATGCTTGTCTCTTCCCATCATTGTGGTAGACGTTAATCAATCAGTTCTCTGGTAAAGTCTAATCTTTCTCTTTCTTCAGTGTAACCAGTAATTTGAACCTTGTTGTAAACTTGCTCTATTTCCAATCATGATGTCTCTTCATTGTAAACTTTAAAAGTGATCAGCTATCTCCTCGAGTGTGCTTGACTTGGTTACTTCTGCAGTTCACACCTTTTTGGCTCAGCCAGCCAGTGCATTCATTCTTTTTAAGAATTAACCAAATTGTTGATTCAACTGCTCCTTTGTTTTTTCAGTCTAATGCTGTCCTCACTTGCACTGACATCTATTTGGGCATCATATTCAGAGTTGAAACGAAGGCTACCAGAGCTTTTATTGGCCTAATTTGTCATGAAACAACAAATTAAAAGCCCTCACCTGCTCATGAAACCACCTGTCAGTCAATTGTCCAATTAATTTTGAGTATCTAGAAATGGAGATCGTGTATAATAACGTCTGATTCCAAAACAAAAAATGTGTAAAGGCCTTGAAACAAGGCTGAGCCCAGACTCGGTTTTATTTTAAATCCTTTGTTTGTGTGAAGAGGGAAAAAAAATTAACTGTGGAAAACTTAAGGACCCAACTGTATACATTGAGAGATAAAACATTACAATCCAACCCTGCTCTTTTCTTTAACACATTAGACCAGATTTTCTTAAATATACATGTGAAAGAACCTTTTTCCACATCTGCTCCATGCTTGCCGGTCTTCTGGACCAGACAGGATCCTGGTAGTTAGTCAGAAACTTTCCATTTCCTTAAGGAAATGAACTCCTCCCTGTGCTTGAGAAATTTAGAGTAATGTAGGGGGAAGGATAATACCATCCTGGGATGGTTATAAACCACTTCGTGACTGGAAGAGAAGGTGTTGAAATGCCTCATCGACCCATTACACAATTACAAAGTGTTCTTGAGACTATCTAGCTTGCCCTGACACAAGTTTCTCAGAGAGGTCACAAAGAAATGGTAACTGCCGCTCAGTGTTGTATAGTATATATCAATTTTGAGTTCAAGAAAAGTTAAAGGTTTTATGCCTTTTAGGATATTTGATCCACAATAGGCAGTTTAAACATAGAGTATGGGTTGAGTTTGAAGTTGAAAGCAGCTCTTTGAAGTAAATTTATGAGTCAGAAATGCCCGTAAACCATTTAAAAAACGATGTTTTGAAGTGTCAGGTATTTAAAAATATGAAACTGAAAATCATTTGTACTCATTTACATTTTAAAGACAGATAATTAATAAAAGCAGTTATAAAGAACAGTCTGCAATAGTGTTCAGGGACAGCCAGTCCTGGAACATTTTATGAGTTTAAAGCGTGGTAAGATTTCTAATTATCTCACAAACTTTTTCCTTTATGTGATGAAGAAGCAAACAGTAATTTAAACAGTTAGTTAAATGACAGAATCAATAACTGGCAATTATTTTGTTGATTAAACCATCTTTTTAGGCAGAAATATCACAGCTCCTTTGGTCCAAGCTTCTTCAGTGAGAGCTCCTTTTTTGTTTGACATATTTGTTAAAGGTTTATTATTACATTTAGCCCAGTTTAGTTTGAATGAATAAAACATATTATGATACTGCACTGTCTGGATGGTAACCATGAGAAATAGTTAGTCGCAACCCTATTATATTATATTATGTAAATCTCATATTGCGCATATTGTTTCCTGTTTATGTCTGTGATAAAAATAGCACAGGTACAGTGAGAGATTCATTGACTGATGAATCTACTGGCAACCAAGTCTAATCATAGGAAAGGTGAATGATGTGATAAATGAGGAAACATGTAAAGACACTGATCCACATAAATCATTTGTGTCCTTGCAGTGGCTGCACCTGACCTTCTTGACCCAAAGGCTGCCGCCCACAACTCCAAGCCTCGCCTGTCGTTTTCAACCAAACCAGTGGTGCTGAACACCCCAGAGGACGAGTGCGACACTCGGACTACAGTCATGAGGTGGAAGACGGTATCAGCTATCTTTTTCCTGGTGGTGTTGTACCTCATCATCGGGGCAACAGTGTTCAGAGCACTTGAACAGCCTCACGAGAGCTCCCAGAAACTGGCCATTCTTACTCAAAAGCTGGACTTCTTGGTTGCGCACGCATGTGTAAACTCCTCGGAGCTGGAAGAGCTGGTCCGGGTAGGTGGAAGCTTCAGTGCCATAATAATAATCCTAATTTATTCTGTCGTGCAGGTCTTAATGTGTAGCAAAACACAAAATTTGTCTGCAGATTTTTAAAACTCAGGGAGAACACTGAGCAGTTTGTACCTGGCAGCTTAATGTCATTTAAGCACCCCTGAAACCCTATCCTGCCTCTAACATTATGCCTTGCAGAAAAGTATAATAACTGTAAATAGTTTTTACCCCACAGCTGTAAAAGTCTAATGGAGTATTGTCGTCACCCTGCCGGGGGACGACCAGGGGGTGTCAACACCCAAGTTTGTAAATGTGATAACTCAAGAACAAGGTGACGTAGGATTTTGACATTCATACCATAGTTACAGCTAAGAATCTCAGAAGAGTTTGAGTCTCAGTGACCTTGAAGTCAAGGTCAGAGGTCTTTAGAAGAAAACCCTTTTCTAAAGTTTGAACAACCCCCACCCCCACCCACTGAAGATATAACTCTTTGTTATATCCATCACCATCTTTGTTCCAATGCAGGACTCTCTGACTGCCATGTGTCTCTGTCATAATGTCTCTGTTTTAAAGCTAAATAATACCATTCTTTAAAGATAAGCAAATTTGGGGTTCTTTTGTACCTGTTCTTATCCATGAAATGCATTTTTCAACAGTGATTTGTGAGGGTTTTAGAAGCCTTAGACAATTAATACAGGGTAGCAAATCATGAAATGAATCAGTTTTGCTAAATGGAACTTTAAAACAAAGTTTCATTCTAGGGAATTCCATATCACAGCATATCTTTACTTACTTTTTATCTGCAGTTTCATTTGAAGAAACAGAATCGAACCATGCAGGGAACGTTTTATTTTCTTGAGCTCACCATATGCCAAGCACCAGAAAATTACTACTTGAGGCTGAGACCAGCGCGGGAGTACCTTAGAAGAGGCACGTTTAAATGTTTTTGAGCTGTAAACTAAATGACATGGAACCCATCATTGCTGGAGGCTGATGCTAATTTTGACATTTCTATTAAAGCTATTACAAATTAGCATGGGATGAACAAAAGGGCTCAACAGGCCATCTACCGTTTCATCATCCCAAATCTTGAATGCTAGTGCTGATGTAAATTTAACCATTTTGAACTGCTCTGCAAAAAAAAATATACAGAAAACGAATATAAACTATGAATGGCAGAAAAATAAAGCACAATATCGCCAAATTACCCATCTGGGTCCTCAGGTTTGTTTTATGTTTGCCCTTTGGGTATTCAATGTTTGCTGAAAAGAAAGTCAAAGATGTAACTACAAATCAAGCCATGAAGTCTCGAGTTGAACTAGTAAATCTCACTAAATTAATCCAATCCGTCAACTTGTAACTGGACATCTGTGACTAAAAATAAAAACGCACTAAAAAAAGATATATTGACGGTGCAGCCGTCCTGACAGTCCTGACTGTTTCTCTATGGATTAGTTTATCTAGCAGGCAAACTTGTCAGGGTTGATTAAAAGCATTTCCTCTTGGGGAATCTTGTTGGAGCATTGCACTTGTGGATGATGATTACTTTTCTAATGTGCCAAAGCTGAAAGGTCTTAAATCTCAAGGGAAAAATGATTTTCGACCTTTTCTAAATTTGGCCGCTAGCTGCAATTTCTCATTAAGAGTCTGCCACTTGGAGCCAAGAAAAACACCTTCAACTATCAAAATGTGCAAGACCAACGTTATGTAGTAACATGAAAAATTAAAAAGGTAATACATCAAAAAGCAATGTATGTAGGATGCCCTAAAACATTGCAACAATGACCAAATGCAAACAAGTAATGAGCCAGCAAAGTAATGAAGGTCTACAGAGAACATAAAGCAAGTTTATTATATAATTTCCAATCTATGATTTCTTTTCATAGCATTCATTTTATTTATTTTTTTTGTTTGTTTGCTTTAACCAAATCATCATGTCACAAGTCAAATTAAGCTACTGGCATAAACATACAGTTTAATGGCAAGGATCATTTCATTGTAAGTGGAGCAAACATTTTTAAAATAATAAAAAATTCTAAGCAAACACTTCAAGTGAAAAGCCCATCATATACTATAACCTGCAAACCAAAAGCTGTTTTAACGTTTGTTTTTAGTTACTAAATTATAGAACAGCAGCGCTTGAATCATTGGTGCACGCTCTGATATGGATTTTACCTCACACTGAAAAAACCCCCTCTTGATTTAACGAGCAGGTCTTCTCATTCATAACATGAGAACAGGAGAAAACTTTCACAATATAAAAATATTACTTTTTATTTCACTCTGGGTTTTATTGTTTAATATTTTAAAGGGCTTCAAAGTGTACTTAATGCATATTTACCTTCTGTGGCATTAAAGTAATAAAAGTATTAGCACACGCTGTTAATAGTACATGTGTGCTCTAACATAATTAAAACCAATTTCACGCTGAAAGGATTTATTACTGCATGTATTGAAAAATGTGTCGTGGCCACAGTTGTAACAGATGGCGGTTATTTATCTTTAAATTGCCGAGTTAATGTTTAATGGTGATGGTGGTGCTTTCAGAGCCGAGATCATCCATCTTTCACATTGTTAGAGTGAAACCTGAGGCTCTGGACAATGGAAATCATCCTTCCAGCTCTCTCTTTCAGTCCCACTACCTGTTACATGACGTCCAACAATAGGACTACGACTATGCAGTGAAGCTTATTTACGGTTAAGACATACTTAAAAGCATATCGTCAGGAAAACATATGGAAAGCCAGCAGTAGCAGCAGTTGATTCTGCATCATCGTCATCTAAAAGTAGGGACCCACGTAACAACTTACATGACAAAAAGCAACTTCTTTTGACAATATGCACTGAGATTGGATCAGTCTGTAACAAAGTAGGAGTTCTTTTGACAGACCGT